CAAGCCTGCCTGCAAAGCAAAACTCACAGCAGGCAAACACTTGTGCCAGCGCAATGGTGTACCAAGAAAGGCGTGCGACGCAGGAGTGCCAAATTCTTTGCGTGATTCACTTCATGAATTACCATGCGCAATCATTCAGACGGTAAAATGTATATTGCAGTACCTCGAGATGGAAAGTAACACCTCTTTTAACGTTGTTGATATTATAACGTTCTTATGTCACAGCCACATTTAATTATTTTTAAGAACTATAAATCTGAGGTTGAAAAGAACTTGACATCAAAGACAGAAACCCCGATACATATCTGAAACTCCCAGCGTCTAGCACCAAAAGCAGCTGCCTCCTAATCCGACCCATTTGTGCCGACGCCCAGCCATGCCTCCAAAGAAGCGCCCATCCTTTGCAGAACATCAGCGAAACCCCACCAAGGTCATGCGAGCAGACGCTGGCCCAATGGGCATTGTGATCTGCGTTCGCCGCTGGGGCAGCGGCTTCTATGGGTTCGAAGGCGGGCGGCGGACAACGCATGCAAATACACACACACACACGATACTTGTGCATATATATATAGATATGTACATATATATATATATATAGACGAATAATATGTATGTATACATATAGGATTAACAAAAAAGTAAGCGCAAACTTTAGATCTTATTCTATATGCAGGGAGCAGATTGGCTGCATTTGCTCGAAAAGTTTGGCCCCCTATGGACTCAACTAAAGAGATTTGACATGCTGCTGTTGATGCCAGGTGGAAAAGGTGCAACAGCGACAGTCCCTCTCTGGCAACTGCAGTTTGCTGGTCAAGACCATCGATGGCTAACTTTCAAGATGTTGCCCACCATCCGCGAGTACTTGAAGGAGCAAGCAGACGCAACAATGCACACCACCCAGGACTTGGAGAGCAACCACTGCATTCGATTGATTTCGGGGATGCCTCCTTTGGAATCTGACCCCGACCCAGATGAAGTTGGCATTGTGCCCTGGCGGGCGGTGATCTATTGCGCAGGTACCTCCCCAGAGCCAGCTTTGGATTTCATCAGGCAAGTGCTTGAGTGGCAGATCCAACGCAGGCAACTTTTGCAGATGCCGCCGCTTTTGGTCTTCATGCACGAAAAGCTCGACTTCGAGTTGCCTCTTCCATGGGCCCCATGTGCTCCTACTGCAATTCAGCCACCCAATCCCTTTGCAGTGCCACCCCCTCGTGGTCGCAGGCATGTCCTCTGCCAGCTCGAGCTCGAGAAGAACCACCATCCAATTGAAGGTGACGGTGAGAGCCAGGGTGAGGGCGAAGACGGATCGATTCACCCAAAGTACTTGCTCACAATTTTTGGTGGCATCTTTGCGTTCCGTGAGCGGTTCGACCAGCAACAGATTGCCGGGGAACGCGTTGACACGGAAGTGAAGGGCAAGGTCAATTATGTCCGCTACCTTGAAGGCTTGAGCGTGGATGACCCAAGCTCAACTGAGAGACTTCAAAGCCTTCTGAACGATGTCCTTGCAAAAGTGCCAGTGTATTTCATCAACCGTGTGGGCGCAGAAGACCCAATGGCAAAATGGTTGTTGGCACAGAAAACTGTCATCTACAGCGAAATTCTCGTAGACGATGAGTGAATACAGGACCAGAACCACGCGGCACCGTTTGGACAGTGAGTGCCATTTGTGGGCGTTTCATCATCAACTGCATGGATGCACAAACCAATATGCATGACCTAAAAAAAGGCGTTCGCGCAGCGCGCAACATCGGCAGAAGTAAAGTTAAAGCAAAAAACGAAGCGGCTGAAGCTTTATTTCTTCTTTCTCCGTTTCACGACTCTGAAGCTGAAGCGATGCCTGCCTGTAGAAAGCACTTGACATCATTCTTCTTGGTGGCTTTTCTTGCAAAAGCCCAAATTCCACATCTAGCATAATTACTACTAACCTTCCTTGCCAACTCATGATGCTTGATTTCATGACAGTGACAAATTCAGAGAAGCTCACATCCGGAGTGAGCATAAACAGGATTCTGTTCCGCATTTGCCAGCCGTGGTAGCCCAAGCTTTTTGGATATTATTAGTCGATCGTCGACATGAACGTGCCCGTCACGATGTATGCAATGGTTCCCGTGCGCGCTGTACCTTGCCAACTGGTGCTTTTGATGGCAGAAGCACCTGCTTTTTCAGCCTCCACCGCTCCTCTTACGTTCTCGCTGCCGCAGAGGTTGACCTTGCGTTTTCACTTGGCAACATCTGGCGCCGTGCTGGGAAACCTGGATGTTGCTTTGCCATGGAATTTCAATGCTGAAGAGGTGGCAAAGTCTTTGGACACTTGCTTGCTTGGACTGTCCGTGATGAATGGACTTTCCATGCCACTGTTCCAATACTTGTCCCCCACCGCGAGGGAAGCACAAGCAGAACACTCATACCTCCCCCTGACTTCATTGGCGCTCGAAGAGCCAGTCTTCAGCACAGAGCAGGTCGATGAGTTGGAATTGCTGCTGGTGGCGACGCGGCCTTTACTGGTCAATCTTCGAGGCCTTCACGTCGGGGAGCGATCAGCTGGCTGGAGGCGGTGGTCCAAAGAATTCCACCAGTTTGTGCAAGACCTTCCTCTTCCAGAGTTGCGCCTCCAAACCGTGCCGTCCTATGGCATCAAGAATCGCCAGCAATGCTTTGGAAAAGCCGATGTTCGACGCTTGGCGCCTATCATACTCCAAGCTTTCGCTGGCGCGTGCCGAATGAGAATCGCAGGACCGATTCGGGCGGCAGCGGAAAGAGGTCGACCTTTCGCTTGGCGAGGGCCTGCAGCTGGACGCCGGTACAGAACATGGAAAGGCTGCCAGCACGCCCTTGCATTGCTGACCGGCCAGAAAGGCAATGAGGTACGGAAGTTCATCAACGCCTGGCTGTAAGCAATGGAAGATGCCCTAGTGGAAATCGAGCAGCAAATTGCCCAGGAGCCCTTCAAGACCTTTTTCAAGTGAGACGAGCATGAACCTTAGGTTCCTTGGAGCACGGCATCGCCGTCCAGCAGAAAAGGAAACACTTTACGGCAGCTTTCAGCGATTGATGTTGTTGTTGCTTTTGGAATGGAAACTTAAAAGACTTAGCGCGTAGTTGGTCAACGTTTCCGTTTCTATTGCGCCATGCTGACAGTTAATGGTTGCGCTTTTCACAGCTGCGCTTGTATTGATCCATGCCTTTGCTTTTTCGGTTGTCAATCATTTCCCATTCACATTCTCTCAATATGCTCAAGTGCTCAGCCTTTCAAAGCTCAAGCAAGCCCGCTGGGTTCA